TTTCTATGACCGGAAACTCGGACTCCAACGGTGCGTTTTCTGTGCGTTGGGGATAAGTTGTAAGAAAATGGTGACGTCTTTGAGCAGTTGTTTTAATATCCCGAACAATGTGAAGACGTTTCGCCGCCAGAGTCTTGGACTATTAATAATTTCCAAGACGCCGATGACAAATAATATACCTCTTCATTCTCCCTAGCTCAAAGTTCGAAGTTATTTCAGGGGTAACTATACATAATCAGCTTTATGATTTCCCCGTGCTAGACGTTTGACACGTTATGGGTTGGCGGTGTTAGCTTGTTATATCATTACACCGGATATAAAGGTGGACGCTTCTGTTGCCAAAGCTTGCAGCACGGTATGTGGCCCGCGGTATCTATAATTTCACCAGTTGTTAATGTTCGTATCAGTGTGTGCTTGTTACTTTTGTTTCATAAGTGTTGTTGATACAGTATCTGTGCCCCTTGACAGGTAACCAATAAAATGCGGAACAGTGGACGCAGGCGCGGTCTGTGGACGAAAGCGCTTTCCGCGTGAAGTGAAGTTAATGTGAGACAGGCATCGGTCGGTCGAGAAGATGAATCCTTCCGTTTGTGACGATGTTCACTGAGGGATTTTCCCTGGCGCTGAGCAGGTGGCACCGATGGCACTGATGACGTAAAACTTTAAGGAGAACATTTCTCGTTACGTCCCCCTTCTTCGGTGTAAACTTTCCCTCGTCACATGTATCGAAACCGCTTCGGTATTCTCCAATTCTTGTTGCCCAAATTCCATCGTCATTTCTCTCTCCAGCTAGTTTCTCCTGCGTATATTTCCTCTCTTTTATTCTTCATCTTTCTATATCTCTTCCTTTTCTTTCCCTTATCTCCTCTGCTCTTCGCTTCTATTCATGCTTCTCTCCCTTTCGCTTTCCTTCCTGCTTCGTCCCTCCTCTTCCTTCCCTGCCTCTTCCCTTCCCTTCCTAATTTCTGTCCTCCATTATGCGAACTAGAGACTAATTTTCAAGACATCTAGTATCTGTGCAAAGATATATGGGTCAAGCAATGAATCCAGTTGTCAGTCGTTCAGAAGCAACACACAATTCCTATTGAACGTTCATCAAAAACGTTGCAGCAACGTTTCCTTTGTTCCCCTGGCTATTATTGTTGTCTCAGGAGTATTACCCAAAATCGCGAGGGAAGGGAAGCGGTGGCCAGGCTGCCATCTGTGTTGTTATTGTTCTTGGACCAACGATGTATGTCTATTTCTCACATATCACCGCAAAGAGCGTGTTGTACATAGGCCTAAGGAATATATGAAAAAAATAAACAATAATATTTCTTGCTCTGGAAAAAAATTACCTTTTGTCACTTCTCCTTTGTTTTTTAGTCATCGTTATTTTTCCCGTTCCTTTACGTATTTCTTCGACAATCAATACCGTAAGTTATAAAAAAGAAAAAGAAAAACCATGATATAGCAACGTCGGTGGCCATGATGTCCACACATATTTATTGATATTATTATTGTTCCGTAGTTTTAGGTGTTTGTTTTAGCCGATACTGCACTCCCATGCAATATCATTACACATTTTATCAAAATTCGTAGACGTAGAGGACTTATCGAATTCCTATATTATTAACGACTCACATTTAATCCTCTCTGAAGGAGTTTTTAATCGTTTCTTAACTCACTTTATATCAAGGGCGATCGAACGCTGAAAACCGAGTCACAGACAGACGAAGGAATAAAACACGTTTCGTTTCCTTGATTATTATCAATTCCAGTGTCGTCATCTCTTGAGACAGCAAAATGTAAATAAATAATGTTTACTTTTTTTCTTTTACTTTAATAAGGAAAATGTATATTTGGAAAACAGTTGGAAGATATTATAACATTTGCCTAAATTAACTAACTCTTTTATTTATCAGTATATACAGTATGTATATAATTACATCCACAAATCGCATAAAGTACTGTAAACGAAACCAGAAGCTTTCTGAATCCCTTTCCAAAGTTGCGATTTCCCAGCAAGGCGAGGCAGTTCTAAGTGGGATCTTATAAATAGAATCATATTTCCAATCTTACTTTTATGAAGGTTTGTTTATCTCTTCCACTTTTCTTTTTTTCTGTATGATGACGCGGTCCAGACTCGATGATAAAAAGAGAAACTTGTTCTTATATGTAATGAAGATCACACTTACTTAATATGGAAAGACGCGGTGACTTTTCATCTCTTTCAGTATATACTGCATATGGATGATTGTGAGGGAATGAGTGTGTGTGTGTGTGTGTGTGTGTGTGTGTGTGTGTGTGTGTGTGTGTGTGTGTGTGTGTGTGTGTGTGTGTGTGTGTGTGTGTGCGCACACACACACACACACACACACACACACACACACACACACACATATATATATATATATATATCTTTGTGTGTGTGTATGTGTGTGTGTGTGTGTGTGTATGTGTGTGTGTGTGCGTGTATGTGTGTGTATGTGTGTGTGTGTGTGTGTGTGTATATATATAT